CCGCGTGCGTCTTTTAAAAAAAAATCAATAATCCCCCCATTCCCGAGTCCTGTACTTCGCAGCGCTCAGACTTTGCATGAACTTTGGTGACCTCAACCATCGCGATACTCACGATGTGACGAAAATGCACAGGTTCAATGACCGGTCACAATGGCGAGCCCGACAAGAAGCTTGTATAACTTTCTTTTTTTTTCCACAAGTGACAGCACAGGACAAACGATTTATTTTCATGGCGACACAGCGTTTGTAATGCAGAACCTGCATGTTAGAAATGTGGCGCTATCAGACTACTATAGGTCCTACCGGAAAATTTCTAGGTGGTAACGAAAGCGCAAGTAGATCTTGATTTTTCCCGATCAAGCTTCGGTATCGCACATACACTTCCATTTGTTGCCGCCATAACCGCCTGTGCGCGGGTAACGTAATCTCGGGCCGGGAAAGGCCGAATGAATTTTATATCACAATCGCGACCGGCAAAAATGAACTCAAGGACGTTATCGGATTTGGTTTTCAAATATTCGAGAACGTTTATGTATTTTCCCGGGTCTTTCACAGGGCAATTTACAGATTTCTTCAAATTCCCGTTGTATTCCGGGTCTCTGCAATTTTTTTCAAATGACCGGGTAATTCCAGGGGCCCCCGGGATTCCCGGGGCCTGGCAGTCACCCTGTACACGTGTTCCTGTCCGATCTGGCAAAATTCAAGGAGTTTTCAAGGACATTTTTCCTTTAATGCAAATTCAAGGAGTTTTCAAGGACATTTTTCCTTGAATGCAAATTCAAGCAGTTTTCAAGGACTCCTTGAATTCAAGGAGGCCGGGGGAACCCTGATATATATATATCTTCATTATAAACTGTCCACTAAACACATATTTTCATATATCAAGCGGATGCTGACTCATTCTTCTTGGTTGTTTCAATTCCATATTTAACAAAATTTAAAAAAACATATACACATCATGTTCATGACATCAAAGATTTTAAACATAAGGTCATGAACATTAATGGTGTGCATGATTTTATGATGAGTCAGCACAATAAAGACCACATTTCACCATGAATAAACTATGACACAGAAACATTGAAAAGAAACCCAAAAAAAGAAACAGGTGAAAAAATCACTTTAAAAAAGATTTCCCAGGTAATAAAAATAAACCTCCTATGAGCAACAAAAAACAAACTTACTGCGGAGGTTAGTGTAGCCAAGCTCTTTTCCCAGGATGAACACGATGGAATTGAACCTGTAACGCCCACACGGATGGCACGGGATTGATGAGGGCTTATTGACCACAAGTAGATTCTCCGTGTCCTCTATGACTTCAATGCGAGCTGCAGTCACTGGATTTTCATGTCTGAATAAATAATAATAATTTAAATAACAATTTAAATATAATAATTTAAATAATGATGATAATAATAATAATGATGACAATAATATAATAATAATAATAATGATAATAACAATAGTAATAACGATAATAATAATAATTGGTCAATTTCTACAGAACCCGCTTCGCAATTCGGCTGTGGGGACTTCAGGCCTACAGAAAAAAAATCAGTCATTCTAGTCACAATCAAGTTCATAGATTTATTCACATTCATGTACACACACATGTTAACACAATCATACTGTCACAAATATACACAAACTCGTACACACATATAACCATGTGTGCGCACTCACTGTCACTTTTAATACTTCATATATTATCAAACCTACAATATTATTTAGAGCATCACCTCAGATTATAATAGATGGAAAGTTGTATTTCTGAAAAAGATTAACGTTGCGATTAATTTCTTTTGAAGATTTCTAAATGACATCCTAGCTCATCATGCATTCCATACAGATGGGCTAGAGAATGTCAAGCCTGCTCCTTGTTCTTCTTAAGATGTGTTTGTGGTGTTATGGTATTGAAAGCAGGTTTGCACTAGATGATCTTAGACTTCATGGCAGAAGTAAGGGATAAGAAGGTCTGTGATGTAGGACAAAGCTTTTGTTTCAGTTTCATTCTTCTCCGTTCACCCAGATCTTGGTAGGGAGGTGGCCAATTTTAAGTGTCACTACATCATAATCTCTCTTCGAGAAAAAAAAGGCTCTTCTTGTGGAAACTACTATCAGTAAACTACAACTCAGGTCATGCACTTAAGACTTAAAAAAAAAAAGAAAGTAGCCCTCTCTCTATTCCTAGTCTCTCTGATCCAAATCACTCATTTTGTTTCAGTTAAGCATAGGAAGAAAAAAAAATGATACAACTTTGGGCAAGGTCGAAACAGTTAATAATTTAACGGAGATAAATTAAAGTAATCAGTCTTTATGCATAATGGTCCCAAACCTGTGGGTTCTGTGAGAGATGTAATCACAGTCCTGAACAACATGGTCCACAGATACCCTTTGATTATTCACGTGAATCCTGCCACCTTCAAATGCCTGTTTCTGCAAATTGATTCAGGAAAACAAGCTTTAAACACTTTAATCACAACAATTCTATTTGTAAATAACAATTGCATTGCTTGGTTATAATATCAAAACATTTTTAAAGTGTAAGGCAAAAACTTTCCATTTAGGAAATTCAGGATAGATATCACAAGTCAAAAGTCATGTAAATGAGCCCATATAAGCAGTTGCATGCAAAATAAAAGTATGTGGATGGGTTTAGCACCCCTATCAACACTATAAGAAAAAGTTATTTAAGGGGCAGTGTCACGGTAGTCACCGTATTGTACCTTACTCCTTTTTACTCACGGGACGTAAGCGCCCCGTATGCCATGGGCTCTTGGTTAATGTTACTCACTTCGGGGATCTACATAAAAAGTCAGACACTACACCCGGGCTCATTATTAGAATGCTTGCTGTCGTGTGTGTTCGTCTCCAGTTTTACTGTCGTGTGTGTGGACTAACATTACATGGTGTCAGAAGTCAGTGGATAATGTGTCACAAGTGTCAGAATGCCTCATTTCAAGCCTCCTGAGCCGTTTGATTTTTCGAAACCTCACGAGTGGCCCGAGTGGCGACAGCGTATGCTACGATACCGCACAGCCACCAAACTGAGCGCAGAGACCGGAGCAATTCAAGTAAGTTCATTAATTTACGCTATGGGACGCCAAGCTGAACAGATATTTAACACGTACACGTTCCCTGCTCCCGTCGAAGGTAACGATCCTAGGGACAACTTTGACACTGTCTTAGAGAATTTCGACGCTCACTTTGTCCCCAAGCGGAATCTTATCCACGAAAGAGCAAAGTTCCATGCACGAGCACAAAACAGTGGGGAGACGATAGAAGAATATGTTAGAGCCCTGTACGAACTTTCCGAACATGCAGACTTTAAGGACCGAGATGAAACCATAAGGGATAGACTCGTCCTAGGAGTACTGGACAATGAACTGTCACAGCGCTTACAACTCGAGGCAACTCTTACTTTGAAATCAGCCATCGAAACAGCACGCCATTTCGAGCTCGTAAAGGGTCAGGTCAGTAGCCAACGTCAGCTAGGTGCAGCAGTCACAGTAGATTCAGTGCGCTACGGCCAGAGAGGATATTCGTCGCCTGCTCACCCCAGGGGTAGAGGCGGCCGAAGAACTGGTACACACTCACAACACAGAGGCAGCCATGCATCACCGTCAACTTTCTCTAACTGTGGTAACTGTGGAAGAGGTCATGCCCAAAACAATTGCCCAGCGCGTGGGAAAACTTGCAGGAAATGCGGCAAGCGCAATCACTTCGCAACAGTCTGTCGCAGCAGCAGCCGCAATGTAAACGAAATCACCGAATCGGAAACTCCTTCGTTCTTTTTAGGTGCTGTTGACAGAGACTCGGACAGTAATGTCGTTACCGATGTAAACTTCGGCGAAGTTAGCGAACCACCATGGCGCGTTACACTGAACCTTGGAGGGAGAGCTACATCCTTCAAGATAGACACAGGGGCCGATGTTTCGATAATGTCGAAGGCCGTCTACAACCGTCTCAGTCCTCGTCCAAAGCTGAAAACAACGTCTGCAGTTCTTCGCAGTCCTGGTGGAGTCATAAGGAGCGTGGGAGAATTTATCGCAACTACGCTGCATAACAATCGCAACTTTGCGTTCCGTGTTTTCGTCCTTGACGACGACACCGACTGTCTTCTCAGTCGCGAAGCCGCAGTTCGTCTGGGACTGATTTCTCGAGACAGAATAGACTCTGCCAACCTCGTGTTCGGCGATGTGGGACCTAAACCTATACGCTGCGAGCCAGTGAAAATCATCTTGAAAGAAGATGCACAGCCATACTCCGTGAACGTCGCACGTCGGATTCCCATTCCACTCATGGACGAAGTCAAAGCTGAACTAGACCGTATGGAGGCCGCAGGTGTCATTGAGAAGATCAGCGCTCCAACTGACTGGTGTGCACCCATGGTCCCGGTCAGAAAAAGGTCTGGTAGTGTTAGAATCTGCACAGATCTGAAAAAGCTCAACCTATCGGTGAAGCGTGAACGATTCATGCTGCCCACCATAGACGACATATTGTACAAACTCAGCGGATCAAACAAGTTCAGCAAGCTTGATGCAACTTCATCCTTTTGGCAGTTGGCACTGGACGACGACTCCGCGAAGCTGACCACTTTCATTACCCCGTTCGGTCAGTACTTCTACAGACGTCTCTGTTTTGGAATCACCTCTGCGCCTGAGATATTTCAGCGTACGATGCAAGACATTCTAGCGGGCATAGACGGTGTAGAGTGCTTTATGGACGACATCCTCCTGCACACGGATGGTCAGGAGAAACATGATACTGAAGAAGAAAGTCTTCCAGCGGCTAAAGGAGCGTGGGGTCAGGTTGAACAAATCCAAGTGCAAGTTTGACAAGGATGAAATCGATTTTCTTGGCCACATCATCAGCGGGAAGGGTGTAAGGCCAGATCCATCCAAGGTCAGCGCCATCACTGAGATGCCAGAGCCAGAGAACATTACAGACTTACGACGAGTGCTCGGCATGGTGAACTATTTGGGCAGGTTTGTGCCAAATCTGTCAACAGTCATGAAGCCGCTCACCGATCTTCTGAATCACGATGCTGAGTGGGCCTGGACTCCAGCGCAGTCATCTGCCTTCACTGAAGTCAAGAAATTGCTATCGTCAGCTCCAACACTCGCCTTCTTTGATATGAGGAAGCCTGTCACTTCGACTCAGCGTCTCTGGCTGCAATCTTCGCCCTGTCGTAGACCTGCTGGTTCAGGTTTGACGGTAGAGTTGGCAGGGTCGTCCTCAGGCGTCGCCCAAGAGCAAGTTCCGCTGGGCTCGCCCCCGTCGGTGACACCGGTGTAGACCTGTAGATCAGGAGTGCGAGAAATGGGTCGTCCTGACTCAGGGCTTTCTTCGTTTCCTCGACTGCTCTCTCCGACCCTCTGGATGTTACTTGAATGTAACATTCATCTCCAGTAGGATCGAGTAAAATGGATTGAGAGCCATGAAAACTCCACAAAACAACCAAAGTTCAAGTACGTCCCATCTGGGATTCAAACTAGGGCCATCCGCTCCATACTCCAAGACAACACCAACTGAGCTAATGGAGCGCCCAGCCGCAATCAAAGTAAACAGACTTTGTATCATACTATGACTTCATTATCATCCCCTCTGGGTATTATAATGTAATCCAAAGTGTTTAGTGAAGCACAAGGTTCAAAACTAAGCAATTAAAAGACAGTACAAAGGCAAAAAGCACTACACTATCCTTCAGAGCTATTGCCAAACCTCTCCCAAGGATTAGAAAGGATTGTGCAGCTCTGAAACCATCCTCATTTTAAGTCCCATATAAACACTAGAGGTGGCAGTTTCATTTCATGTCAACGTTTCACTCCACCTTGAATTTATAACAATCACATTTCTTTCAACTATACAAGATGGTAATTTTCAATAGCCCCTGGACATTATGATTATGTGCAGGGTGTGTTGATTGCAGTTTACAGAGAGGAGGCATAAAAAGGATAAGTCCGCACTACACAATTTCGGGTATACTTATAGTCAAAAAAGTCAAAGCAAATTTTGTCTGTTCCCTCTACTTCTTTTCCAGTATTATTATCCAGATTAACCTCTTGAAAATTAAACAACCTAAATAGAGGCCATAAGACAATAAAATCCAAACTGATACTCAGATCATACACAGTTCAGTCTTACCAGCTCATCTGGATGGTCATATCCAAATTCCTTAGCCAAGACTTCCTGAAGTTGACGCTTTACCCATCGGCCTTTAGCATATGTTGCAAACACATACTGATATGGATAAACTTTACGCAAACCTGCACAAGAGGAAGAAAACAGACAGCCTCAGGGGATGCTTGCAAATTCCTATTTACTGTACCCAGAAAACTTCTTTTAAAAATGTATCAACAAGAGACTACACCAAGCTGAACATTTATCTAAATTTTACATGTTAATATAATAACTATAACTGACCTAACAGAAGAAAAAGTAAACCACTCTCTCACAAAAATTTGACCAATCAACTATCTTTAACGTCCTCATTCTTTTTTAAATTAGTCCCTTTAAAGTCCTATCCCTTACATAAACAAAAACATAGACCATAGTGATACAGTACAATGATAGTTGATAGTCAGTCAGGACTTCTGATGTTGTATGAAGTACAGAAATAAAAATAAATGGTTATGATAGATTTAAAAACAGAAACTGACACACATGTATATTATACCATTCTCAAAATAATATTCCGACTGCTCAAAGTCTTCAATGTTGTAGCCAGCATCTTCCTTTTGAGCAACTTGAAGATTTTTCGCCTTCCTTTTCATTTTAAGTTGCCTGTGTTGCTGCGCTCTCAGTCGCTGAAGACAACAAAACATACAATAGTGCAACTCTTCAGTGATTATAATAAATCCTCTCTCCATCAGTCTTTTCAAAGGTAAAATAATACGCACCAGTTTCACGGACACAGTGTTGGTCCAGTTCGGCACAAGCAGAATCTGAATGGTAAAATAGGAAATGACTTTTCCGGCATTAAGTGACTTTTACTTTAAAAATTACCAAAAGTGTCCAACGTTCAGCTTGCAATTTATTTACATACTAAGTGATAATTGCAGCACTAGCAAACTGTAAGTTAATGATATTACAAGTCAGACCTAATATTTAATTTTATGGCTCCCAATATATTTAAATAATAAAAGAGGGATGAATTCCAAAAATTAGTTATTTCACTAGTCAGTGACAGCCTGTGGTCAGCAATAAGGACAACACAAAAAATTCAGTAATGGGAAGAGTGCATCTATAAGTATTACAATCACACACATAGTAAACAACAGCAAACATTGAATGGAAACAATTTAAGTTCAGATCAGAGGAGATGAAAGTGCATTTGCGTTTGAGATGGCTGCTTTGTAAATGTAAATCCACACTTTCACAGCCTCTGTGTGAATTCTTCTAGACAGGTACGATGGGCATCATTCGATAGTATGTGTGGAAACAAGATGTCCTAACAAACATGGAAGAGTCCCACCTTATTCACTTACCATGAAAACTTGTCCCACCTTATTCACATAACCCATTTTCACTAACCATGTAAACTTTCAAGGTTATTGAGCCTTACAATCATTAATGAGCAGTGGTAACATTTTTTTTTTAAAGAATTGTTCGGAGAAGTCCTTATCTAACAAAATAGTAGGCCAAAAATTTTTTTCACTGACTTTGCATCTTAAATATATATAAGTAAGTTGTATCAATATAATCTATTATAAATATATAGATTTTACAACAAAATAATCAGAAAAACATTGAAAATATAGAAAGTTACTTTTTTTTGTGCCCTCCTTGACAAAGGTTGTTCCACTGGGGTTCCATCAGGACCTGGTTTTGCTGCAGAAGGGAGAGATGTTTCACTTGAATTCGTGGAGGCCATGGCTGCTGTACTTGATACAAGCTCTGGCTCACTGTTGTTATTCTCAACATCCGGTACAGATTCACCTTTCAGTGTGATGTCAGTCATTGTAGCAGAGACACAGAATTTATTTGAAAATGAAAAGTTGTTTGTCCCATACAGATTAAAATGATCAGCTGTGCCCCTGGAAACCAGCACCACTCGGACTTTTGACCCACTCGAAGGAAACAGGAGTCTCAGCAAAGCTGTTCTCTGGGAAAGCAACCTGAAGTCAGAGATAAAAAACGTCCCATTAGAAATGATTAGCACATAATACATTAAATAACATGATTCCCCTTTCCATGCCACCGATAATTAAGGTAGTTTTTTTTTTTTTGGGGGGGGGGGGTTCCAACAAACTTTTAGGTAGGTATCATCATTTAATTTTTAGATTGTCTTAGATGCACTTGTATACCACCAAAGAACTTACTTAGAGGACATAACATAAGAACTGCTAGCATTTTCATTAAAAAATTTTACCCCAAAAAGGGGAGAGGATTGGAACATTTAGATCTAATTTAATTCCCACAGATCCATCCTACCAAAATACTAGTGGGACCTAGATCTAGGGGGAAAAGAATACCTCTTTTCTCCACCACCCTCCCTTTTAAGAGCTTGCTCGAACAGTTACATACATATGGTATTCAGGCGAGAGTTGTCTGCACATAGGGATTTATTGGGAGAGTTCATGGGGGAGTTTGACTTTTTATTTAGTAGAGGTTTTACGGTGCTCGCAACTGCATAAGGTCATATGAGCGCACAGAATTCTACACTTTAGTGTAGAATTCTGTGTATGAGCGCCAAGGGGTGGATGTCAACAGAGAAGTCTTTACAGTACTCTGCTCACCTCTCTAGCTTTAGCAGCACAAAGTCTGTTTGGTAGGGGGGGGGGGCAGGTGGCAACTAGATCTAGATCTAGAAAATATAGATCTAGATCTAATCTAGATCAGTCTGAGTCAGTGTCCAGTCCATTATTATAATGGGGCTACGAGGCTAACCCAAAAAATAGATCTATGAATATGAAAATCTTGCTTACTTCCTTCTCCACATTGATGAAATAGCTACCCAGTACGGAATTTGATCCACAAGTACTAAAAAACTTGCTCTGCTGGGCTTAAAATTAAAATTATATAGATTTCTAGATCTATAACCAAAGTTTCTCCACTACTTCAGTCTCTATAGCAATCAAGCACTATTCAGACCATTCAGAGACTAGAGTCAAGAGTGCTGGAAATGCTGCTGGTGCTGGACTTTTGAGAAGAGTTTAGAGTGCTGTCCCTTACTTTCAAAATAAAGATTCGATGTTTTTTCATCGTACTTTTTGGCTTTAAATGATAATTAATACATTATTTTATGTTTTCCTTTTGATTAAATGAAAGTATGCATGGAGTAGAAAATCGAAATTGTACGGCTGAAATTTCGGTTTGAAATATATTGCCTGACTTACTGGTAACTGTAAAATTTGTTTTGTTGACTTGGAAATCGTTCTCATAGATCTAGGCAAGGGGCCCATGGCATGGGTGGGCATGAGGGGGAGAAAAAATGGGTCAAACAAGGGAGGGAAGTCGTCACTCACAGTATCTCGTCACATAGGTTGTTGGGCCTTAAATTCTCTTCTTTTTCTGCCTCCAGAACTCCAAACTCCAAACCGAGAATCTCGTCATTCATTCTTTCCAGAATCCAGTATCCAGGTCCCGACAGTCTGTGTAGGCCTTCAATACAAGTACCAGTTCAAGGATCCGAGAAAAAATGTCCGACGAAGAAGATTACAATTCGGAGGAAGATGTGGATTATGTACCCACTGGTAAATTTTGTTCAAACCAAAATTTAAATCATGTTCACATGTTCACGCACAGCATTCCCCTGACGGCCCTGCCCTGTCTTCCACCATCATTTTTTCTTAGAAATAATAGAGTAGGCCTAGAGATCTAGATCTAGATTAGATCTAGATTATAGATCTTGAGCCATCCATCTTAGTCTTAGTGTACATAAACTTGAATACACTGTCTATCGGTGTGGACGATCTAGAATGGCAAAGGAAGTGACTATTCCGACTTGAGTCCGAATATAATGAACAAATGTTTTATTCGGACTCAGATTCTTGTCCAGCATGACATCACTTTCGACTTCCTGTGACTCGTGACTCCGGCTTCCTGTCCTGACTCACTCGTGACTCGCTTCAGGCTGGGTAGAGACCGGGATCACTTCGGGCAAAATCGCGTTTTGTGCAGGAGCCGAGTTTCTTTCTTATGATGATGAATTTGAGGCCAGCTTGAAAAGTTATATATAGCGCTTCTAACTACCAAGATGTTTCAGTTGCCCTATCTCGCATCCAGGCGGGACTTGTGCACATGACGGCTTGTGATATGAGTCGTGTAAACAAACATTCCTGCCCTTCTTCTGAGTTTTCAGCATGCAATTTTTTCTGCGTGCGGAGGGGGGGGGGGGGGAGGAAGGTGTTTGTTTTTACAATAAGAATAAGAATTATTTATTCTTGTCATTTCTCTCTGCGTTGGTTCACAGGCTGACCCGATGCAGTACAAATAGTCATTACACATATAACCATTCTCACCTTCCGAATCCCACTTTCTGTGTTCCATCTCCTGTGTCCAATCTCTCAACTCTTTTGTCCCATCTACCGTATCCAATTTTCCATCCCATATTCCGACTTTAATTCTATAAGTGCATTTCGTTTTCCTTATCATCTCATGGGATGGAATGCTTGAAGCAGGCAAAAATATTACATCACTGTCGTCAATGTCAAAATCAGATGTGTGCTGTTCAAGGACATGTTTTGAACAGTTTGATTTAATACTGTTTTATTCGGAATCAAGGTTTGGTCTCCTTGAGATTTCTATGAGATAATAGAAGATAGCATTTGTGAAACATTTAATTGGAGATGGAGATCATACCATGAGTTACGCCTTGAGCTGTAGTAAGGGTGCGAGAAGAAGAAAAGTGTCTTGTCCTTGAGAGTCTTTGAGTCATATTATATATATTGCAAATCAAAATAATCTTAAAGCCCATGGATGGAATGAAGAATTTAACTTATTTTACAAGTATGATAAAAGCTTGGGGGGGGGGGGGGGGGTTTGTTTTGATTTCTTTAAATTGTAATGTGTTTTTAGGGAATAATGCTAATTAGGCTTTTTAAAAGTTAAAAATGACGACTGAAAGCAAGACTGCATCATATTCTGTTGTATCGTGTGTTTATTTCATAATCATACTGAATACTGAGATGTCATATATATATTGTTTCTTTTCACAGATGGGGAGCAAGTCAGTGAGGAGGAGAATTCTGGTGACGAAGAAGACTTGTCCCTGCTGAATGATGGTGATGAGAGTCAAGGAAACAAAGTTGCTGGCAAAAGGAAGAAGACGGGGAAGAAAAAAAATGCCATAGAATCACGGTAAGCAATTATTGAAGCTGCCATTGCTAATCCATCAGCCCTTAAGCCGGTGCCCTTTGATCCAATGCCATGGTGCAGAGGGTAAAAGTCTTTTAGTCTTATGTTGTTCCATTTTGTTGTATACACATAAATGCACATATATAACGTGTTGTGTATGCCTTGGTAGGGGATAACAGAAAAGACAAAATGTTGCTTGTACATTGGGCCATTGTTCATTGGATGTTGGGAGATCATGTAGTATTGCAAGGTTTTAGAAGCGTAAACGTAGATCAGGCACCAAGGTAGATTTTCTTGGATGGGTGGTCCAGTTCAGATACGAATTCAGGAGCAATAGCAAGCAGTAAAGAACACAGTACTGTCAATATTTAGTTACAATTTAGATCTCTTCGGCGCAAAATAGTCTTCAGGGCTTGTTAATTTTTGTGTAGGTTAACAATTGAGGCATAGTCTGTAGTAGTTTTAAAAATGTTTCTTTAAAATAAAGCTGTCCCTTTAAAAAGATTTCTCAATATGTTTTATTTGTTTTGCCTCTTTGTTGCTTTTATGAAGTTGTATCTTTCCTGTCAGTTAGATTGGTTTGATATGTGTATTTTGAACTGAAGATATTTTTTCATGTGGTTTGCTTGTTTGGTCGACTCAGGAAACGTCGAGGTGGCATCAAACTTGATGCAAATGAATCAAAAGACACTACTGGTGAACAGCAGAATGGTGCTGAGGAGGACGACGAAAAGGAAAAATCTCGAAAGAAAGAACTGGCAGAAGAAATAGCCAGGGAGGAAGAGGAGAAGAGGAAAGAAAAAGAAAAGAAGAGAGCAGATGATTTGTGGTCCAGCTTCATGTCCGACGTGAAGACAGTACCAAGCAAGAAGTCGACCTCAGGATCAGGACTAGGGGGACTAAGTGCACAGGTGAGAAGTCAAAGAAATGCATAATTGTGGGTGTGCCTAATGAAAGGTACCTAAAGCTGCCTCAGACCATTTTGAGCTGATAATGACAAAAAAATCCTTTTTTGGACCAAAATGTGTTTCCGTAAAAAGAATGATAGTTCCACCATTTTTTAATAATGGGTTGGAAGGGTTTTCATTGATTTGACTTCTAAGTATTTTATTTTGAATAATTTTGAGACTAGGATATTTTTTACAGAAGTAATGAAAACTGCCTTAAGAAGGTGTTAAAATCTATTCTTGAAGCATGTTTTTCTCTTCCCCACTTTGTTTTGCCATGGAATTCTAATCATGATATTGATGTCAACTGAATGCCAAATTGGAAATGAATTTTCCATACAATTGAATAATTATTTTTTTCAAGTTTGAATGTGTCCCAAACTCAAAATTAGATCTTTATACCCTACCTCACAAAACGTGCAATATCTCAAAAACTTCTTGAGATATCTCAAAAATTCAAAAACCACTACTGTGTTCAGCATTGGATTTCATATAAGGTACAACCCTTGACTCCAAATGGTCAAAATCTGACTTTTGATAACTTTCTTTTCACACACACAATTGATAATAAATATCAATAATTATATATTTTATTTATAAAGGGCATTTCCATTAAGGAAGTGCTCAATGCACTTTACAATAATACAAAGAGCGCAAACACCATATTATGCTTCTAATAACAATCATTTCTCTCCATGTCTCCCCCCCCCCCCTAAGAAAAATACACCCTCACACACACAGACATCGAAAACGATATACACAGCCTCTTGATACAAAACAGCATGAATAACAAATATATATATATATTACTGAAAGAAACTTTATATTGTAATGGGTGGGAATGTCAGTCATTACTGATAAAAGCTGGTTAGAAACAAAAGTGTTTTCAGTACTTATTTGAATTTTGGTAACATGGTCGCATCCCATAGATACATATGCTGGTAATGGGTTCTACAGGAAGGGAGTGTGATGAGATAAAGCTCTCCCTCCAAGTCTCCAACTTTCATTTTGGACAGGGTTTTTTAAAATTCAGTTTTGACCGGTCTTAAAGGTAAAGGTGGTACTTATTCAATTACCATGTCTGAAAGATAGAATGGTGTAATGTTGTTGCCGCACTTAAAACATAGAACTGGCAGAAGAGATAGCTATAGAGAAGAAAAGGAGAAATGGAAAGAAAAGATAAGAGCAGATGAGTTATGGTCCAGCTTCATGTCTGACGTGAAGACGGCATCAAGCCACTGTTTTGTTGTTTGATTTGAATGTTTTCCCAAATTTGCAGAAAAATTATAAAATTATTGAAGATGAAAGCTGATTTCAGATTGACTGCTTGTGTTGTTTTAATTGAAAATATCATTGTTTTTAGTTTCTTGGGTAAAAAAAAAAATTTTCAAGTGCTATCTGAAATGTTATTCGTACAGGTTTCATCTACAAAAGAAGAGACCTCAAAAGTACAACCTGCAGAGGCAGACAAGGGTGGAAAAGTTACAATCACAAAAGTTTTTGACTTTGCGGGAGAAGAGGTCAAGTGAGTACTCGAAAAATATGTGTGTAGCATGTCAATGAAAGGTTACTTCAGTTAAATTTATATTTCGACTTACTATCAGTGAGCAACTTTGTCCTATACTACACTGTTACCGTAAGTTAAATAATTTGATTCACCTGCCTGCCTTGACTCTTTATCTCCGTGGGGGGTAAACCCACTACGCCGGCCCCTTTTTTGGTACTAAATCTAAAAATGACGAAAATATCACTAAATGGATCATTAAATCGAAACAAGTCATCCTAATTTGATAGTCCTGCATCTAATTATTGAACTCCCAGTTTGTTTACAATGAGTAAATTGAAGTGAACATTTTTGAAAATGTCAAGTAGACGTAGCATTAGTGCTGCTCTTCATGTGTCGCCATAATGAGGATTCAGGTGATGGGTGTGCTTGTCTAATGTTTTTAGCTCCAATTCTGATTCCTATTTTAGTGAAGATACAATAATCACGTTCAATTTTCTCAATGTCCTGAAAATGTCATAATGATCAGAATGTTTTTTGCTAAGATACAAGTATAGCACTGATGTTCCACGTCTGCTTTCTGGTACACGGGGACAAAGGTTTTGCACTGTGCGCCCTGTGAGTGAGAAAATGTTAAGGAAAGTCAAGTACAGTATAATGTTCTTTACATTAGCTGAAAGATGCACAGCTTGTAGTAGATCAATACTGTTGTATGCACAGCTTAAGGATATAAGTTGTTATTACCATATTCAATGCTGATGTTGAGTTTTAGCCCATTTTGAAACCAAGAATTTGTCAGTTGTTTTTGTGTTTGTGGGGGATGGGAGTTCAACACTGCCCGTTCGTTGATGGGGTTTTGCAATATGTAGTGTCAGTGAGGCTATTCAGACCCATCCTAGGTTCATGGCTTTTCTTTGTCAATTAAGTAAGTGTGTATGCAAAATCTTTGGTTGGGTTTTTGGGTTTCATGTCATTATATTTTATGTACTCATGCTCCAAAATGATTCTAGTTTTTTTCTTTTTAAAGAATCACCAAAGAGGTTGATGCCAATTCGAAAGAAGCAAAAGCGGAACAAAAGAAACAGGAAAAGGAAAGTCAGGAACAGCTCCAGAAACTGAATCCTGCCCCATGCAGTTCTATACAAGCAGCAACTGTAGGGTAAATACATGATTATAATCTGTGAAAGTGAACTTTTTTATGGTTTGGACCATACCCCATGTGTTGTTCAAGAGAACTTGATATGGTTGTCTTTACCCTTTTATATAGAAGCATAGGTTGAACAATCTTTTTGTGTATTTCAGACCTGCACAAAGTCCCACTTGCTGTGATTTTTGCCCAGAACTTATTTATTCTTGTTAGAACAAAGTTCCACTCTAATTAACACATTCTCAAAGTTTTCTTCTCTTTCATCTGTAGACATCCCAGTCTCTAGTGCAAAGGCTGCTGTTCGCTGCTGGTCCCCCTAGAGTTTTGGGTTTCTCTGCCCGCGATTGGGTCTATATTTCTTTCTTAGCATCTCAAGCTTTCTGCAGACTAGGCTTGCAGTAAATGGTTCCCTCTTTGAACGCCGGTTCTGCACTGACACTGCTTTGAATTTCCGATCTTGACATTCTCTAGTTTAATCCTTATTATTTATCAGGTATAGAGTGACTTGATTCTCATTCAGCTCTTCCTGTAAAATACTTAACAACATTGCTCGTGACAGAGACCCCATTCCTACCGGAGACAGAAGAAACTGGTCACCATCAAATCGCTAACCGCTTATTTGGCTGTATATTTATTTTTATCCGCTTTGTAAGTAAAGAAAGTTGAGAACATACTGGAGGCAGAGTAGTTTTTTCCACAGTCGCATAGGCATGCAGATGTATGATGCTATTTCAAAGCCTTTTCTTTAGCCCTTTTTTCCCCCTTTCACAAAAGCTAGTACTCGATTAACAACGACCCTGAGACATAATATCATCTGCTATGAAGGATTAAATATTGATTTTGGACCTCTATGAAGCATATGTGCAAGATTTTCTTGAAGCAAAAAAGTCCTTCAGTCCTCTTTTTAAAAAAGAGCTATCAGAAAGTCTCCTTTGTCCCACCCTCAGATCATCAAGAACAATATCTTTGACCAAAAGTATATTAAATGATCTTTTTGTATGGTAGAGAGGGAGAGAAGACTGAGTTCAAGCCCATGAACAAATTGTGTGGGTATGTTTGTGTGAGTGAGTAATGCATTGTTTTATGAGTATCATTGAACATAAATGTAATGAGTCTGTTTCTGTGTTGATGCTGAATCTTTGTACAGTATAAAAAAATTACATGAAGCTCGAACACAAACATGGAATAGTCTAACTAATTATACCGTCGAAGAGGACTAAAGTCTATGTTCTTTGAGGTGTACCAAATATAATGATAATGATAATAAAAACGGAAAAAGCGAGGTCGGTAAAATACCCCCGTGTCACCTGAGCATGCCTAGATCATAGGCCTAACTAGGCTTGTGTGGAGCGGGCGAGAGGAAGGGTTGTGCCTCACACGGTCGGCCACCCCACCCCTCTTCGCAAAGGACTGTGCACTTGGTAGGGGAGGCAGGGTAGGGCTGCATTGTTTCGTCATCGCATTTTTTATTACTGTTGCGATATAATGTTTATCTTGTCAAATTTGGAAAAGGGATCGTTTGATTGGTGCAGAATAAAGACCACTCACACTGACCTGTTCAATTAAACTGTCTTGGTACCAGTGGGTTAATTACTGATGGAACTCAAAAGCGTTACTCATCGTGTTTTTCATTTTCAATCTGTCAGTTTCAAATTCTCTAAAATTTCTATTTCAAGTCAACAGGCATAGATCTAACCTATCTGATCAAGGACAATGGCCGAAAAAAGAAAAATCTCTGTTCAGACCCAATCTTTTTTACTTCCCTTGATTCTCTGACACAGCTGATGCCATAACGCTGTTCTCGTATCCCTTGAACTACGGATCCCTCAAATAACTGAGGCTGGTCCCGACAAATTCGAGCAATCCGTGTTATACTGTATGTTGATGTTTTGGTATCTACCCCAAGTTGTCTTTGTGGTTCAATAAAATTTATCTTATAAAATTTTAATATTTTATTAAAACCTTGTTATTATATAATGTATCTCTTTGGAAACATTCAGTATTCCATTTCTAATAGTTTCTGTGTTTTGTTGACATTTTCAGGTTAGGGGTCAAGCGTCCAGCAGTTGGTGGTCTAGGCAGTGTGCTGAATAAAATTAACAAGAAGAGCAAAATGGGAACTCTAGTAAGTTTAATGATAATACAATGATATCCTATGAGTTGGAACAGATGTTACATGATCCGTTTTTCTAGAAGTGTCTGAAAGGACAGGTGTTCATCTGGTACTGTCAGATGCTTGTGGTTCATATTGAAATAAACCGCTTTATTGCATACATGTGCGTGTTTGAAATAAACTGCTTTATTGCATACTTGTGCATGTTGACACTGAGCGCTGCGCTAATAACCACATCTTACGTTTTTCAATTTACTCCCAAAAACACAGCGTTAACTACACATGAATAAACACATATGGTGTGAAAGGTTATAACAGGAATTTTTCTTGGAAACGTGAGTAAGAGTTGTATAGTAGTCTCCGCCTGAGTACCATCGCACACAAACCCTGGTTTACTTGTGACCTCATTGTTTTAAAAAAGTTAAATTTTTATAACACAAAATTGAACTCAAGGATCTTGCTCTTTAGTAGAGACGGGCGGGAAGCGCTTTTTCCTTCCCGAGGGAGAAGACCGAGAAGCTGACCTACTTCTCGCCGACCCGGTCCCGGGAACGAGAAATACTTCCCGTCTCGAGCAATACTTCTCGTCTCGTGACCAATTTCTCTTCTCGCCCCGCAGTTCGAGCCGCTCGTTCAGCGAGAAGGCCGCGGCGGCTGAGATTTCTCTTCTCGCCCCAAAGAACGAGCAACTCGTTTAGCGGGAAGGCCGGTCGTTGCGGGGATCTAAACTTAGAAACTAGGCTTGTCCTGGTGCGCAGGCGCAGGCGGTGAAGGAAAGTAGGGAGACGACCTAGGCCTAGGCCCTGATCAACTCCCCACTCGCCTCGTCTTGCCACCCTCTCCCCTCCCTTTCAGTTTCACACACAGGACGGCACGGTGATGGGTGACACTGTCTGCGTTGTCATTTCTCACCTTTCACTCTCGTTACTGTTACTCGTTATGTCAAGCCAACGTGCAGTATCACGTCTCGGTACCCAGCAGTAGTTTAAGGCCCGGGCAGTGACGGGAAGGGCGTTTCTCGCATTTGTCTAAGATTCTGCATTTTAGTTCATAATTCAGTGAGCAGAAATCAAAGTTGTTGCAGCTGATCAGCTAAGCAGCAAAAATTTGCAATCATTGTACAGTAGTCTCCGCTTAAACACATGCCATAAAAAAGCATGCTCCTCTCAAACGCACGTTTTCGTCATCTGACAGGCTTTTTACTAAATGATTTAGACTTAAAAACGCATGGTCACTCCCTTTAAACACACACTTCGATATCCGAAACAGGCCGACAGGTAAAGCTTGACTAAGGGAAATATTCGCTACAATCTGTACAGTTTGAATTGAATTAGACAAGCCTAGACTACCAGATATTTGGGGAGACTAGCCCTCATGCAGAGCAAAAAGAGTGATGGACAGTGTTTTCACTCCCAACTTTCCACAGACACATAGGACTAGGACTAGTCGGTGAAATGTTGGGGGGTCGGGGGACTGAGATGTTTTTTGATTGGTCACTGGAAATGCATCTTTGAGAGAAGGTTTCTGGCTGGTGTTTGAGTGACTGTACTTAATGTTTAGTTAGACTGATGATGCGTTATACACGTGAAGGCTGTAAAACACTAGATAGGCCTGTAAGGATTCAAGATTAGTCTAGTACGCCTAATCAGTTGCGCGCGAAGAACTTATAACAGACTTTTTTAACGAATCAGAAAAGAAATGTTTGTCTGAATGTAGAGTTTTATGATTCTGATATCGTCCATGAATTTACGGTCAGGGGTGCGCCTCCCCCCCCATTCACCGCCTTTGTGTTATTAACCGCAGTCTGGGAATCCTTCTCAAAACAGTCACATGTCGTCACATTATCGACCAGTGACCCCCACCCTCCAAGGGAGGTCACTAGAATATCAAGGAATTGAAATAACTACGTCCCTTCCTCCCTTTGCACAAGTTCATGTAAACACACACTCCGTATAAACACACGCTAAGGAGCCCTCCCGAGCACTGTGCGTTTAGGCGGAGAATACTGTACTACCCTTCCTCTCTTCGAGACTGAGATCACATCTCCGTCATAATTTCAATGAGTGGTACAATGTTTGTCCCCGATGGGTTCACACCGAGGTGAGAAGTAGTTGATGTGTTTGTTTTCCCCAAACATGGCACTTGCATTTGAACTCTCCATCTGAAATTACGTCACATGCTGAATCGTTGTAGGGCCCGCATGGCTGCATCAAATGGGAAAATGTGACCACGTTGAATTGTTAACTTGTCAGTGCTTTTGTAATTGTTTTTCTGGCCATCGCACTTGTCTTTCTGCTCTGCATTCCCGGATTTTGTCAGTGTGGGCATGCAAAGAGGAGTTACCTAGCTGACAAATCACAATGAGTCTCTTCTTAACTTGATGAGACTTGCTGTTTCACGAGCTTATGTCTGGTCATGATCTAGACTGATCCCACTTCTCCTCTCTATAACTTGTCCAACATTTTTTTTTGTTCAATCCTATTTTAACTGTTTCTCTATTCATGTTTGTTGCTAAAAAAATTTACCCTTTGTGTTTTCAAATATTGCTTGACTTGTTCAACAAAATATACTGTATTTCATTGTTTGTTAACTTTGTCTCACCAGGAAAAGTCCAAAATAGACTGGGATTCGTTTAAGAAGAAAGAGGGAATTGACGAGGACCTCAAGATTCACAACAAAGGAAAACAAGGGTATGTAGATGAATATAGATGGGCCCAGATAACTTAAATATATTGGGGATTGACAAGTGCATTCATAATTCGGTTAAACAGATCAAACAAAAGATTAAAATGGTTTTGAAGAAAATCAAGCTTAATTACTGTAATGATAGAACGGTTGGAAAACGAATTACTGAAACAGATTTTCGGAAGCAGATTTGACACACACAGCTTTTTCAGTGATGCTGTGTCTCTTTTTTAACTTGTCCAACCATCTCGTGTTGCATGTGAAGATAAGGCCAAGTTCCGTTGCAATTTCATCTGCTTTTGTCATCATGATGACAGAGATAGAAGAGACATGACACTAGCTAGCTGAAACGATTGAAACAATGCCAGCTTGATGTTGCTGTCTGGTTGACATCCTATGCTGGCATTTTCGATTTTATCTTTTTTTTAAATGTAGAAAGCGTTGAATGAGGGGTGACAAATTTCTTACACCTTTCTGACTCCAAGCACGAATTTTTTCAACCTCTGCTAAATGTAACAAAGTTGAGTCAGCTAGCACACATTAACATCAGACATAATTGGTCGCTTTTAAGCACAAAGGGACTATCCTGAAAAATGCTGTTTTGAGAAAATCGAACATAATGTTTTTGCCCCTTGTTCAGTTCTTTTAAAAGAGAAGAAGAGTTTTCTCTATAACCAAACAAGTATACACACCACTGAAACCAAACTTCTGCTATAGGTAAGGCAATGCCCACTTTTGGTGTAAGTTAAGATTTCTGGAAATCCCCAAAATCTGGGTTAGCCCGATTGTCCTTAAAAGCAATCAATTATCCTGAATGCTGCCCTCCAGCATATCTAATGTGGCTCAGCATCTGACTGAGAAGGGAATCTTAGTGATGGAGCGGAGGTTTACAACTTATTGCCCCAAATCTATAAAGTCCAATTTTAAAACCAAGATGAGAAGACTTTTTGATGGGATGGATCGTGAGAACCCACTGTGAAGCGTCATTGATGGATAGACCTCTGCCTGTTTCAAGCCAATATTATACTCTCTTTAGATATGGGGAAAATTAGTTGAAAATATGGACCGTCCCAAAACAGTTATCATAGATACGTATGGTCATTAACAATAAGATGACAGGGCCTTATAAACCGAGGTCAACGAACTTGAATGAGAAAAGAACTAGGATGGCTTATGAAAAGGAACCAGGTTAGCTAAGTCAAGGAGAAGGTTAGGCGTGGTTAGAGGAGAGAGGTGAGGAAAACTAAAAATGTAGCCAACACAAGATTGTCGTCATTTGCTCATTTTCAACTTGAACAAACATTCTGGATTTCATGTGTTGTTTGAGAGGAAGGAAAAGGTAATGAATTCGTCTCCTTTTCCTTACTACACATGTAAGGCCATCACGTCTTGACTTTCAAGCAACTGGTGTTTAATAGAAATGTATTTTTTCAGATCAGTAAATTCTCTCTCAATGTAAGTAAAGCTTCAATGCAAAGCAACACTTTTTTCTATTCTGCTTTCAGGTACACAGAAAGAATGGCATTCCTCAGTCGGGCAGATCAGCGGCAGTATGAAATAGAGAGAGATCTAAGGCTAGGAAGTAGCAGTAAAAGATAACAATGAACTGGTTCCAAGACCTGCCTGGCAGTTCAGTTCAGACATCAAGAATCTTAATTTAAAAATGTTGTAAAGTAAAGTGAATGTTGAGTGTACAAATTTTGTAACATGCGCATTTATGCTTGTGATTGTCTGTATTGAGAGAGAGAAGAGTGGATATGATTGTACTGTTTCTTTTAAAAAATATGTTTGACTTGCACTTCATTCACTGTGTTTGGTGTTGTTCTTTTTTTTTTTTAACCATCATCCATTTGTTCCCTTCCATCAATAAAAATTTGAACAAATAATTTTTCCATGTTTCTTAGTTTTGAATGTCTGATATGTCATGCGGTAATGTGTAGGAATGGGCGGGAGTTAGACATTTCTTTTTTTATCATTGAATCTACTTAGCTCAGGGACCGTTCACAAATGATGTCATCAGCTAAAATTTGGCCAAAAATGCCCCCTCCACCCTGTCATCTTATGTCATCTTTTCCCAGGACGCCCC